GTCTCTTAGTTGTTTAGTGCTTTCATCAAAACAAATTTTTTAAAAAGTTTGGATTATTTTTATTATTTTATGTGTGTGTGGGAATCAATTGATGATCTCTTTCAAAGTTTGGAGAAAGCAATATCCATCGTTTGAGATATTTCTTTGGAAAATAAAAATAAAAAAAGAAGAAAATTGTACGAAAGCATACAAAATATTATGTGGAGGACAGTTTGATTCGATCCAAAAATTATTATATTGGTTCTTCATATAGTTTGATTGGTTAAAAAATCGGTTAAATAAATGACAAAATAAATTGATCGTACAAGAATAACACTACAATTGATTGATTAAACAAAGTCCTAAGTTCAGCTCTTTCTGTTAATATCATAATTTTATTAATAAGTAATTTATAAGTATCTTTATAAGCACTCTTTCATGTTCGTAAGTCTTTAAGATTTAATTCAATTAATTTTGTCAGGAGAAAATTAAAATCAATTTGAATCAATTTGATTTTCATAATCATTTGATTTTCATGGACAATTGGACATACAATTGCATGGTTATAAAAATATCTTAAGGATGTAGAACATTATGCTAGCAAAGAGACAAAGTCATGGGAATCCAAATATCTGAAAAATCATTTTCTTCCTCTTCATCTTCTTTTCTTTTTAACATACATGAACATATGCTCTTCCAGAATCCTTTAAAATTCATTGCGTGATAAAGCAGAAAAAAACAAAAACAAAATTGTGAACCTAACTTTTACACCCATGAACAGAATTTACTTATAAATTAGGACCGATATTAAAAGGCATGTGGCATAAAGTTAGCAATACTTTTTAAAACGTTAAAATTGTATAACACTTGTATAAAATTCCTCCCCACCCTACACATTAGAGTTAGATACCTAATTCATAAAAATTGAAAAATTAAGTAAATTAGTTATATATATATAAAAAAAAGATCTAATGATTTTTCTAAATCATTCTTTTCAATCATTTGCATTAAAAATGTTATCTTAACAGAAAAACTCTTTTAATATATGTAATTAATAAGAAGGTTTTAGGGAAAGTTAGAAATCATAAATTTAGGAGATAAAATAAACTCATTTTCTTTTGTCAACGGCTAGTTGTCTTACTGGCAATGCGACTTGTTACTTTTTGAGATTGAGTTTGAACCTGGTATTAATATGTTTGTGAGTATTATTTTTTGTGGGATTTTCTTCCACTTCACTTTGTGATGATGTTGAGATCAATAGGTGAGACTTTATCTTGTAGGGTTGGTAGATTTTTTTGGTTGGGAGCCAATGAAAAAGAGAAGAGAATAATAATAATAAGTGCGCGTGAGGAAGTGGTCCTTTGATCCATAGCTTCCCCAGCTAAGAAATCAGTTATTTGAGTTGGAAATTGGGACGCTCTCAACCTCAACTTCAACCACTTACCTCTTTTTATTTTAATCCAGCTCAGCAAAGACCCTTTTCAATGTGAAATACCACTTTTGACCCCCTTAATGGAAAAAAGGACAAAACATGATATATACCCCTTTTGTCCTCTTCCCCTATTATTCAATCCTCCATATCCCCTTCCTTGCCTCTTGTTCTCGCCTTGATATTACCAGTGATGGTGATCGACTTAACACATGTTGAGGGATATCCAGTGAGCATAAATCTTATTTGGATAATTTATATTTTAATTTGAAATTTATGTATATAAATAAAGGCATCTTTAAAGAGAAAAATTAATTTGCGACACATTTAAGAAGAATAACCATGTTTTAATATTAGTGGGGTAGTATTTTTTGTGTGTGGTTATGTTCAATATCAAAGGCAATGGTTTTGGGTATAAAAAATATGACAACATCTGGATTATAGTCTAATTCAACTATTGACAGTTATTCAATATCAAAGCCAATCTTAGAAAAATTATTTTTTTATTCCAAATGAAAAATTTAGATGATTAATTTATAGATATTGAGAAAATTATTTAAATTAATTATTTATAACAACTATGTGTTAGTTTCTTATTTCTCTGGAAAAACCTAATGACAAAAATCTTCTTAATAAATGCAATTAATAAGAATAATTTGAAGAATTATAAATTTAAGAGAAAATAATTTTTTGCCAAGTAAAATTTAATCTTATATTTGAAATCAGAATAAATTATTCAATTATTTTTTATATTTACCATGAAAACAAAATTTTCAACAAATTCTTACACCTAAATATTAAGAAAGAACAAAAATTTGACAAAATCTAAACTGCAGGAATCAAATCCCAAAAGAAGCAAAACAGTACAAAACCTCAGTCCAATAACAGGGACATGCCCTGCCTTCAAACCAATGGCAACTACTATTTGTCCCTTTTCTCTATTTTTATTTGTCTCCTTGCCCCCACACTCTCCTCATTTTTTTCACCTTTTTATGCTAATTGTTAGACCAACAGCTCACACCATTCTCCAACTTTACATCCAAAATATTTTTTTTTTCATCAAATAATTAATTTGAAAATTACACCAAAAAGTGTTGTACATAATATTTATATTTTATAAATTCCCTCCTTTATTTTCTTTATTTTTCCTTTGATTACATCACATGCTTTAATCTTAAGAAGGCTTAGGCTTAGCCTTGCACTTCCTTCCTTTTGACCATACAAATAATTTTCTCAAAATATTTTTTGTGTTTCATATCATGACAGGTTGAACTTCAAATTGGGTCTCTACTTACATCCTATCTTATTTGGACTTGTTATATTAACCATGTTTCATCACACCATATTTTTATTATAGTTATGGGCTGTTTAAATTAAACTCTAATAAAAGTTAACCTATAATTTTAAAAACTATCAAATTTAATATAATAGTCTAAAATGAAAAAATTAATCTGCAACTATAGAATTATTTGATTTTCAATCAGCTTTCTTATATTTCGCCTAATTTTAATCACTTTATTGTTTTTTTTAATCAAATCCATATATGTTCGTGTAATTTTTGATCAGGTCCTTTTTAGGTGACTCATAAAAAAAAACTATAAAAACCTAATTAAAAATTATGTAAAATTATAACAACCTGATGCAAAGGAAAAGACTACAAAGCTAAAGAAAAGACTGCAAAAACCTCATTAGAATTGAAGAAAACTATGTCTCCTCAATTGAAACAACATACAATTAGAAAAAATTATAAGAACTTAATAAATAAAAAAGACTACGTAACTTGTTTAAAAAATCAGGTAAATTTATAACAACTTGCAAATTAATTTTCTCATCTAAAATTAGTGATGTGGTCATTTAAGAAAAGTGATTTCCATCATATTTTTATTGCTTGATGAGTCATGCTACTGTTGGTTTTTATACATTTTTTTAAATTGCCACTTTATTCATTCCATTTAGCTATCTATTAAAAAGATTATATCATATTAAATATTGTACATATGTTTCTTAAATTTTAAAAGTTATATGTCTGGAAAATATCACATCACCCTTAATATTTTTTAATTAAAAAATAGAAGACATATCAATTGGGAGACTGACGTTTCTTTCTATTTTGATCAAAATTATCAAAATTTCTTTTTCCTTAATCCAACATCCATATTTCTTCCTATAAAAGTATTTTTATTACTTGTCAATGAGACTCATAATTTTCTTAATTGAAAGTGAGACTCACACTTTAAAAGATGCAAATCCTTTCGAAAAATAGGGAAAATATGAAATTATGCACACACATATAAAGTTTATTTCAAGTCAAAGCATTGTAATTATATGATTAATTTGATACATTTTAGAAACCAAATATTCAGAATTTTGTATAAGGATATTCATACAATATATTTGCCAAAAGCATTAATAATATATATATATATATATATATTTAATTTTCGGTCATTAACTTCATAGTCAATTTTGGCCTTTTTCTCTTGTTTTGACCGAAGAAGTTTGGCTCGTTTTAAAAACTACAAATCTCTGGGGGAAAAAACTATTATTTATCAAATTAGGAATAGGACAAGCATGAGATAACCAACAAAGAGAAACTTAAGATACCCTCAAACTCATTTATTGGTAACCGAACCCGAATTAATTTTGTGCTTATTTTTTTAGATAAAAATTGAATTTTGTAATTTTAATTTAGTTGCTTTAAATTTACAGTTTTTAATTCCTCATTATTAAATGATAATTGCATATTTTAAAGAACTTACTTCTAAAAGACTGTATTTATTTTATCTCTTGCATATAATAAAATAATAAAAGATTCAAAATATAAGAAATATAAAGAAGGTTAATACTAAATTATGATTTTAAAAAAAATGCATGCCGAAAAATAAAAAATGAGTAAAAATTTAAGTTGTAACAAAATTTTAATTTAGAATTAAAATTTTCTAAAATCATCTCATATATAGCAGGGAATCCAGTTGCTTGAAAGTTTAAAGCCTCCATTACAGTATTTAACATTTGAGTACACTGAAAATAATTATAAAAAAATAATAGTAGTACTTTCTTACAATGAAAGTATGAATAAATAAAGTATCATTGTCTGAAATAATACAAAATTCCAATTAAAATATACTCCGAACATTGGAGTAACAAGATAAATAGGATTTCAAAAATGAAATTTGCATAAAATATAAATTAATAGATAAAATATCATGGTAAATTTAATAAATTTTAAAACTATTTAGACTGACTAGGATAAAAGTTTTGGGTTCAAGCGTATCCCGAATTTAAATTAGTTGGCTGTGAAAATATTAAACCACTCTTAAAAATATTTTTCTTTTAAATTTTTAATTTTAAAAATAATCATCTAAAAAAATAAAAATATAAAGGTACGGAAAATGCCCTTTTCTGTGCTGAGATGTAATCACAGGCAGGATAATGTGCTAAGTCTTTCAATGATGGCATATGCGATAATAATGTGGCCAAGTTGTGAAAATAGAGAAAAGTTGAGGACTTGGAAGCAATATTACTTGTCTTGGGTCTCCTATTCAGCCTCAGCCTCAGCCTCAGGCAGCTTCAACGAGAAGAGAGAGAGGGTACTAAGTGCTGGGGCGGGGGGAGGGAGAGAGCGAGCGAGAGCTAGCTTGGTTTACAACTACTAAGGGGGCAAGGGAACCCTAGGAGAGAGAAAGGTTGCTTTGTTTTGAAGCCTTTTTTGCATTGCATTTAGCGATCTGGAATCTTCAATCTGCAAAAGGTGGGTCTCTTTCTTTTGTTGGATTATCAAATACGAAATTGCCTTCCGATGGTTGGTTGCAGGACAGTCAGTTTCCGATTTTCATGCTCAATTTTCTAAGCTTATAAAAAAATTTCTTTGGTTGATGCCTCAGTCTCATACATTGCAGCGTATGGTCCTTGCAAGCAGTAATTTCCGTATTTCGGAATTTCCTCTATTGTCTTCTGAATGTATGCTGTTGTCTGTTGTGAAAATTATTGCTCTAGATAGATGGCCTGGGAAAAGCAGCAAAATGAAGTTTTGATCTTTAATTTTTCCTGATCTGGGACATGGAGAAAGAATAGAAAGAATCTTTGGGTATCTGAGAGCAACTTTACTTCTCCCTTATAAATTTTTCTAGACCTGGAAGCTGAGCTGTGTGTTGTAAGATTCTTTTCAATTGCTACTTATGGTTGCCGAGAGTTTTGATTTTGCTTCTCCACGAAAGCCTTGTGATTTATTTGGTTCTTACTTGAGTATTCTGTTACATTGGTAGTGAACAATTCATCTATTAGTAGCCTTTCAAGATTTAGTAGGAACTGTTGTTTTGATCTGGGATTTTCATGTCAAATGTGCCACCGAATAAAATTGTGTGTTCAGCATGATGCTAATGACTTAATCTAGACACTTTGATTATTATGAGATGCCCAGAAAAATTTTGAGAATTGTTGTGACAAGAAAATGTGAAAGGAGAGATCTATAAGCTGCAAGCATCATGCTGACTTTTCTCTTAGTGAAGCATATGCTCTATAGAGGCATGTGCTAAGTAGCTCTTAGCATTATCTCAATGGGTTATCTACTTTTACTTGTTGCCATGGTAATTTCTCTAAAATAATTTACTATAATAATCTCTTGATAAAGACTTGAGGGTACTGGATGCTATTTTTGTAATGCTTTCTTGATGTTATGTGGTTTGTCCTGATTAATAGTTTTTCAAATATGTGTACATGAGTGGATGCTCATGTACACGTTTCCGTTGCTTTATTTATTGCTTTTTTAATTCTTGGTAGGCATACATGTATGCCATTGTAGAATCTTTTAATTAGGTTGCCATGGAGAAATAAAGACAGAGCGCTCAGAATCATCTTGTGTTTTAAGCAATGGGCTTTTTTCCCCCCAAAGAAATTACTGTTAGAAGATCTTAATTTGAAGTGGCATATTCAGAAGACACAATCGTATAACTTCTTTGTTAGTAGCTAATGCATTCACATGGTTACTTATTTGACAGGTATTATTTCTAATTCTATGGCTAATTCAAAGGCTTCATCAGGCATGAGAAATTTCATGTATTCTGGAAAGCATGCTCTCCTCCCTCCTAAAAGTCCGTTTCCCAGTATTTCTGGAGCATATGCCGATTATGTCCCAAATACTGCAATTGGTTCCAAGGTTGTTCAGAAACCTAGAGAGGGAAACGCACACCATCAACGGACTTCATCTGAGAGCCTTGTCATAGAGGAACAACCTTCTTGGCTTGATGATCTTCTTAATGAGCCAGATACACCGATCCGTAAGGGTGGTCATCGGCGTTCATCAAGTGATTCTTTTGCTTACCTAGACATGGCTAATGTTTCTTCTAACATTAGCTATACAGATCAGGATGAGTGGAATTATAAGAATTTAAAATCTATTCCATCTCGGGCATCCCAGGACTTTGATTATGGTAAAGATACTGGTCATTTACCAATGTATGCAGAAATCAAGTCAACCAAAAAGAACAATAGAGCATGGGACTCTTTTTTAAATGCTGTATCGCATCCAAGTGGTGTTCCCTCTGGGAGGGACAATGGTGCCTTTGAGAGTTCAGGATCACCTAGTACACCATGTGAAGCAGCAGATGGGGCTCCATCAAATGCAAATGAAAAACTGGATTCAGCAGAATCTAGCGCGCATGATACAAAAGTAACTTTTGAAAAAAAGGATGGTCCGCATGCGAAGGCACATGCTTCTGAAACCGATACAAAACGAGCTAAACAGTATGTGCTAATTTTGTGTGCTTTCTGAATTTGTGGTTGTTGCGCTAATTTGCTCAATTATATCACTAATATAAGACTTGCAAGCTGGCTTGATCTGCTCCCCACTGCTGTTTCCTTTCTAATTTTTCTATTCAGAATGCTTTCCTATAGCACACCCATTCTATTGTTTCAAGCAATCCTTAACCTTTTTTAAAATTTACCCAACAAGAGTGCTTGATGTAGAGCTATATTATCATACATGTTCCATATTGTGTAAAATTACAAATTTCAATGGATGCCAATGTGATGTAAAGGTTTAGTAATTTACTTGTAGCAGAAAAAGCATTCCCTTTTATGTTGTTTTGAAGAATTAGGGTGAATTTTGGCATTATTTAAGGCTCAGTGGATGCTGAGAGGGTTTTGGGCTGTTGTTCTTGGGGGTAGATGGGGTATGGTGCCGTTATTGGTCATACTGGGTGTCTTATGCCCTGTTAGGTGGCTTTTGCCCTTACCGTGTTCTAAGCTTTCTTCCGTGCAAACCATGAATTAATTCATGATGATGAGGCGAAAAAAGTAAATCTGAAATGCTTTTATGCAGGCAATTTGCTCAACGTTCACGGGTCCGTAAACTACAATACATAGCTGAGCTGGAAAGAAATGTAAAAGCTTTACAGGTAAGTTCTAGAAGATAAAAGTTTCTAAATGATTTTGAAGCAATATTCATTCAAATTCCTGAATCTTTTATGCTGGAAAGTTCTGATTTTGATTCTTTGTTAATCAACAGGCAGAAGGTTCTGAAGTATCAGCTGAGGTTGAATTTCTTAATCAACAGCATCTTATCCTGAGCATGGAAAACAAAGCCCTTAAGCAACGTCTAGAAAGTTTAGCACAGGAGCATCTCATCAAACGCTGTAGGTTTTTATCCTTGAGAATTATGCTCAAGTCATCAGGATATATTTTTATATGTTTTGAAATTAACATCCTTGATAGTTGATACTTTGCTTTAGGGGAGCTGGCAAATATTAACTCACCATACCTGTTCTGGATATGATGTCATGATGCATTTTATTTTACATATTAGCCATGAAACATGCTTTATTTGTTCTTGTAAGTTTGATTTAGGAAGATTTACATAGAGAAAGAAAAGGATAAGTTCTCATAAACATGAGATTGATTGCATGCAACAAGTTTCCCTTGAATGAGATTGAGTAAATTCAGGCCAAAAAAGAATGAGATTGAGTAAAGGATGGTTTGATCTTAAGTACTGTGCTCAAATAAATTGGGTCAGGGGCGCAATTTAACTCCAGTACCTTTCTTCATTCTAGGTGACTTGTTGCAACACGAAGACCTGGCATCTTATAACTGAAGCATCCTAAAGCATGATACAGTCTAAGTATAATATCTATACAACAACAACAACTAAGTCTTATCCCACTAAGCATAGTATCTATACCCAATATAAAAATATTTATAGAAAGCCATGCTATTTTAAAGCCATAAATAGTGACTCGCCTCAAATTCCGTATAAAGTATGGGCTCAAAATCTAGTCTGCACTGAAAATGTGGTTGTTGACTGTTGTCTGAATGTTAGTAGTTGATGTATTAATTTGTCAAGTTGTGGTAGATGTATGCATTTACTCTGGGAGCATTCACTCTTGTAGTTGGTAGGTTCTTCTTCTTCCTGTTTTTTTTTTTTTTTTTTTTTTTTAAATGCACGGCGGAAAAAGTTGTAGGTTATTCTCTCTCTACATATTCAGTTTTGTATTTTCACTTCCCATGAATAAAGAAGATATAGAATCTTTTATCTCATTCTCTCATATTTCTGAACGCTCTCAAACTCTTCATATCAAAACTTCTAATGATTGTTCATTACTCCAATCACTAGTGCCTCTCTCTTCCTTCGCTTTCGTCTTCTCCTTTTTGATCTTTTTCCCATGAAAACCCTGCTTTCTCCGGTGTTGTGCTTCATTTCTGCCACTGTGCAGCCTCCACACATCAGATGCGCCCTACCTCGAGACTCAAGTGGTGCTGAATGAGTTGCCCGCCATTGATTGGAGCTCTGGCCATTCCTTTGCAGTTCCTGCAATGATTGGCCAGATCTGTCCATTATCCCACACAACCTTGCCCACATGAGCAAATGATGATGTGGGATGAATTTACTATTGGCAACCTTGTCAAATGCTCAGTATTTTCTACTTTCATTTATTTGCCTCCTGTTCTGACCCAATCTAATAAATTGACGGAAGTTAGGGACGCAAGACTTCTAGAAGACGTAAGATTGAATTTTGGGCTCAAGTTCTTTTCATCTGTAATTGGTTTCATCAGATGTAGACTGATTTTTTTTTTTTTTTTAACAGAGTGTAGGTGTTTAAGGAATTTGTTTCATTGACTGATACAAATAATGTGCAATTCAGTGGAACAGGAAGTACTAGAAAGAGAGATTGCAAGATTACGTGCTTTATATCAGCAGCAGCCGCAACAAACACCGCAACAGCAACCATCTGGTAGCCTCCGACGCACAAAAAGCAAAGACCTTGATTCCCAATTTTCAAAGCTTTCCTTAAAACATAAAGACAACAACTCAGGGCGTGACCCCATGACAGGTCCAGTCCGTAGTTAAATCTGCACTCTAGCTATTGCAGTGTTCTGCCTCTACATTCAACAGATGTTGCTACGGCTGCAAATCAAAACAGTTGAATATTTCCACTGTGCGGGATTGTGCAGAGATTTCCAGTGTAGGCATCTTCTCTCAGCCCGCTTTGCTTATTTCAGGCATTTCCTGGTCTTTCCCGTTAGCTTGTTTAAATTAATATGAATTTTAATGGGCACCTGGTGGTCACAGCCGAAGTCTCATCATGTTTTGATCTGGGTTTTCCTATCAGATGACTTGCCGGAGGTGGTAATGCAACATCCCCAGTGTATGTTTATTCATGAAGTGTATCCTCCATTTCTGTTGTGATTTATTCATGCTTGTGGAAAACTCGGCCTAATGTAAGCAGCGAAGTATCTTTAGGGTTGCATGGAATATGGATGTGCATTGTCTGTATGGATTATATTAAGCTAGTGTTTGTTAAAATGATTTGAGGAAGTTCATGTTTTCTCGGAAGATCTTGTCTCCTAGTGTTGAGATGATTAAATGTACCTACTACCTACCTATAATATTTATTTCCTCGCTCATGTGGACGTCAGTTTCGGTGCAGGCGAATGAAGCGCCAATATGCTGGTCAAAAGAAGAAAGAATGAAGCGCCAATATTTTCAAAAAAGAAGTAAACGTATCTATATCTAATGCGTATATGATTTTATTTACAGACTCTGCTACATAATGCGTACAACATTTTATAACATTTGTATTATATTTTATCTTTTAACAAAATATTTCTGTTACTTGAGAAACTTTTAAAAAAAAAAAATTAAGAGTTTAGTTCATTGTCATGAACATCTTTATATTATTATTACTATTGTTATTATTTCAATACGGGCGTTTCAGCTCGCAAGTTGATTATTTCAATATATAATTTACATTTGAATAAAATTTACTATAAATTCTTGTATCTTAGATGTACGTTTTTACGTTTCAACGTGGCAAGTTGATTATTTTTATTTTTAGCCAACTATAATTTTCACCGTGGATTATGGCAGGACCTTGTGTATTTTAATTTTATTTACACTACTACAATTGATGTTTATTTTAAAAAAATGATCTACTATCTGGAGGTGGGATCCAGGAAATGATTTTATTCTATATATATGTGTATTAAGGATTTTTTTTTTTCGTTGGTAAGAAAGGGGCAAAACGCCTTACAATTCTTTATTCATCAACAAAACAAAACGGGAGGAAAAAACACCTGCTAAGTTTTTCAGAGTATCCACCACATCACCAGGACTGTCAAGAATAACAAAATTTTATTATATATATGGATGTTGATTTGGATGATCGTCCTAATATTCTACAAACACTACCAATTCCTGAATAATTGTAAGCACATGTTGCAGGACATTATCATTTCTTAGGGACCTAAGTTGACTTCACGTTTTCCATCTACTTTTAAATAAGTTATTACTCCTCCGCCGATCTTTAATATAAGATTTATTTAACTAGTTTGATTAGATTAAAGAAATTAAATAAATTAGTTAATTATAAGAAAAATGACATATTTTTCCCAAAATATCATAATTATCTTTCTTAATACCACATCTCTCTCTTCTATTTTATTATGGTTGAGAGAATATCCGTAATGATAATTTAGAAAAAATTAATAAATATGATAAATGGATCCTATATTTAGGATCAAAACCAACTCAAGAATTAGGTTTTATATTAAGGACCGGAAGTGTATTTTGGATTCCAAAATTTTCATTTCAGAAGTCAATCCTTTAACGATAATGATCATCAAAAGATCAAATCAATCCAAGCCCTTTGAAAACTGAAAAGCTTAAATTTGATTTAAAGGATCGTGAGGAGTCGTCATAAATAGAATAAGAGAAGTAGTAAATTTTTTCACAAACTGCTATGCTGAAGTTATATAAGCAGTTGGCCCAAAAAAACAAAAAAACACACAGAAGTTATATCAGCAGAATCAATAAACTCAAAAGTACAACATATCTTCCATAAGAGCTCCTTTCCTTTCAGTCATTTGTCCCTTCTCTTTTTGTGGTTACTTGCAATGGATAAATTTATGTGTGCCTACGTCTTTTAGTGCTGTCTTCTGTGAAAAATTCCCAACTATTATGATCAAGATTGCTCAAGTCATCAAGTTCTGCAATGGCCATCAAGTACTGGGTAAGCTTCAAAAGCTCCCGATCACTATCTCTATTAGCATGAGCCTTCCTGAATGGCCTGATAGTCAAACCATTCTGTGGGTTCATCACAAAATTTCTTCGAAGATCATCAAACATGATGGTATTTGCAGCATTGTAGAACTGTAATGAAATAGGAAATCACCATCAAGCAATTTAAATCATTGTTGGCCATTGCTATAATTCACATAATACATAGTGATCTTATCCACATCGGTTTGCTGACTCGGAGTCATCCTCAAGCATGAAATAAAGATTTCCAGGTTTTCAGAAAGATGGCAACCCAGCTATAGTTTATTAAGGTCTCTTTCTATTCTCTTTAGCTGGAGATGAGCATGTGTAAGACAGGTTGCAACTACTTTATGAAGATAACATGGTTGTGTTTCCAGCAAGAAAATAGGTCACATTTATACCTCGGGGAAATGAGCCCAGATCAAACCGAGAGGTTTGCAATCAAAGACCCCACGAGAAGCTGACTGGACAGTGATCATTGCCATGTGGTCAAGAAGTGCAGTGATTTTATAATTAGGATTGTCCAAAACCCCAAGTTGTGCCATTTCAGGTCAATCCACTTCATGCTGCAAGAAAGTACACCACCACAAATAAATAAATAAACAAATAAAATAAAAAGAGCTTATTTAAATATCCATCACATGTTGGCTTTTGCGTGCACTTATTTGGACGTCATTTATAGTTTAGTATCACCACCATGTATCTTCCATGGTTATTCTCCCAAAGGAAATTTAAAAGAAATAATAGTTATTTATACCTGGTCGCAGACCATATCATAATGTCATATTCTGAATAAACTGAAGTAAGAAACTCATGAAGATCTGCAGAAGATGACACCAGGAAGAGCCATTTCAGGAAAACAATGTTAAGAAGAAAAAAGATGAAACCAAGCAAAAACTTGCCATAAATTGACCACTCACAAGGTCTCATAAGTTCAAGGGGGTTCTCTGCTGTTGACCTATGATCGAATAGGGTATAATCAATATCCAGAACAAGGAGTTTCTTCCCTTTCCGACATGGATTTCGGAGCTCAATCTGTAATAGAAGATAACCCATGAGAAAAAAACACACAAATGGCATTAAAAGGAGGACTACTGAGGAAGAATTGAACAATTATCCAAACTTGCTTGACAATCATGCAGCCATGCCGGACAATTTCATCTAGAAAGCATGCACAAGGTGCTTGATAAGCAAACAAAGCATATTGCCTAATCACGGGTCACAATAGAATGACGGCATCACTATTGATTGATAGATAGCAGTATCTATATTCGCACCTCCTTTCTGAGATGCAGTCGTCTTGAAACTAATCACCAGCTAGCTCTCCTAATTTGAAAATGTATGTTCTAGCATTAAAGCATAAGTTAAATATACAGATAAAATGGCCTAAAGACCCCCGTACTTTGACCCATCTGCAAATATCCACCATTCACTTCAAAGCCTTTCTCTCTCGCAAATTTCAGTTTGTGAATCTCTGAATCCAAACACATGATTTTGACGCAGACAGCCATGATGGAATTTGTCTCATGCTCTAACTGTACCATTCACAATTTCAGATCCAAACACCTATAGTTAAAGCTTCAATATTGTTTCCTATTGCAAGTTCAAACCCTAAATATTCTAGTTGCAATTTCAAACCCAGAAACCCTTCCACAAAGTTCCATCAAATATCTAATGAAGGGTGGATAGCAGGGTTTGCCTCCAAGTTTGCCTAAGTAAGGTAGACTATTATCTGGAATTTGAAGTACATGCCGAATATTTGTGAATGGGTGTATCTATGCATTGTCCTCTACGTATAAATGCATGCATGTGTGTCAGTGAGAGATAGAAATCTGACGCAACCCCCTTAGCAGCATTAGATGATATAAAGTACAGGTTTACAATGCATTAACATCAAATTGTTTAAGGTCCCTCAGCATATCTATAGTAAAGAAATGATTGTGCTAAAGAGATGATTAATGAAGCTACACAAATTGAGAACTTGATACAATTTTCCAACAACAATTGACTTCTTCGATTTTTACAGCCTCCGAGCTTAAACCAAAGTTACGGCTTCACGTTTAACTATAAGCGAAATAAACAATAAATTGAAGATCCTTGGCAAACAGGGCATAACAGAGAGCTGATAGAACACGTCCCCGCCCAATAAACAGCCTCATCATCTTGGAGCATACTGCGATGATTGTACTTAAAGCAAAATTATAACATCGGAGTACGTGACACAAGTTTTGAGCGGAAAAACATGAAAAATCTCTCAACGCCAGTATCATGGTGACAGTGTTAGGAATTTTGATGCGAAACAAGTTAATTAGATAGGAGAAAGTCAACATAATTCTTACACATTGACCCTCCTTCCAACGGA